ACAGTTCAATCTTGTCAGATAACATAAGACGGTAGACGTATTGTGGATTGTGGATTACGGTTGCATATTGTGATTCTTTACGTATTTCGTTTTGTATCACAGTGGCTTATTTCATTCTGTATATTTCGTTTACGATTACTCTACAATGATTTATTTCGTTGGAACTATTTGGCCTTCTCTGCTTCCATAGAACTTATCTCTGACTGGAACTCTATCTGTTTCCTCTTCTGTCTGGTGAGCAAGTGGCTCTAGAAAAATCTAGCAGGGGGTTTTACAGAGGCACAAATGTGAAACTGGCTGGGATTGGTTAAGGCTCTGTGCAGTGTGAGGCTGGCTGTAATTGGCTTACCTATGTGCTGACTCTTAAAGGTATATTTTCCTTTTCTGCTTCTGCTAACACAATGAATATATAAATGTTAGATAACATTCAGAGACATAAATTACAGCAATGATTCTGCTTTTGGCTTTAAGATATGCACATATATACTGTACTGAGGTTATTGGCAGGTTCAGTATACACATACAGTCATGGCCGAAATTGTTGGCACCCTTGATATTTTTCCTGAAAATCAAGTATTTCACACAAAAAAGGTATTGCATTAACACATGTTTTGCTATACACATGTTTATTCCCTTTGTATGTATTGGAACAAATTGAGGCAGAAAAGCAAAATATGACATAATGTCACACAAAACCCCAAAATGGGCTGGACAAAAGTATTGGCACCCTTAACTTAATATTTGGTTGCACACCCTTTGGAAAACATAACTGAAATCAGTCGCTTCCTATAACCATCAATAAGCTTCTGACACCTCTCACCCGGAATTTTGGACCACTCTTCCTTTGCAAACAGCTCCAGGTCTCTCTTATTGGAAGGACACCTTTTCCCAACAGCAATTTTAGATCTCTCCACAGGTGTTCAATGGGATTTAGATCTGGGCTCATTGCTGGCCACTTCAGAACTCTCCAGCGCTTCTTTGCCATCCATTTCTGAGTGCTTTTTGACGTATGTTTGGGGTCATTGTCCTGCTGGAAGACCCAGGATCTTGGACGCAAACCCAGCTTTCTGACACTGGGCCCTACAGTGCGACCCAAAATCCTTTGGTAATCCTCAGATTTCATGATGCCTTGCACACAGTCAAGGCACCCAGTGCCAGAGGCAGCAAAAACAACCCCAAAACATCATTGAACCTCCACCATATTTTACCGTAGGTACTGTGTTTTGTTCTTTGTAGGCCTCATTCCGTTTTCGGTAAACAGTAGAATGATGTGCTTTACCGAAAAGCTCTTCTTGGTCTCATCTGTCCACAAGACGTTTTCCCAGAAGGCTTTTGGCTTACTCAGTACATTTTGGCAAACTGTAGTCTTGCTTTTTTATGTCTCTGTGTCAGCAGTGGGGTCCTCCTGGGTCTCCTGCCATAGCGTTTCATTTCATTTAAATGTCGACGGATAGTTCGCGCTGACACTGATGCTCCCTGAGCCTGCAGGACAGCTTGAATGTCTTTGGAACATGTTTGGGGCTGCTTATCCACCATCCGGACTATTCTGCGTTGCAATCTTTCATCAATTTTCCTCATCCGTCCACGACCAGGGAGATTAGCTACAGTGCCATGGGTTGCAAACTTCTTGATAATGTTGCGCACTGTGGACAAAGGCAAATCTAGTTCTCTGGAGATGGACTTGTAACCTTGAGATTGTTGATATTTTGCCACAATTTTGGTTCTCAGGTCCTCAGACAGTTCTCGTCTCCTCTTTCTGTTGTCCATGCTTAGTGTGGCACAGACAGACACACAATGCAAAGGTTAAGTGAACGTCTCTCCTTTTTATCTGCTTTCAGGTGTGATTTCTATATTGCCCACACCTGTTACTTGCCCCAGGTGAGTTTACAGGAGCATCACATGCTTGTAACATTCTTATTTATCCGCAGTTGTGAAAGGGTGCCAATACTTTTGTCCAGCCCATTTTTGGAGGTTTGTGTGACATTATGTCGAATTTGCTTTCTTTCCTCCCTTTTTTTGTTTTGTCCCAATACACACAAAGGGAATAAACATGTGTATAGCAAAACATGTGTTAATGCAATACGTTTCGTGAGAAATTACATGGGAGAAATATCAAGGGTGCCAACAATTTCGGCCATGACTGTATATGTGAACTATTAGCAACCTAGGACCGGTCTTAGCTGGCCAGCTACATGGCTTCCTTGTCAGAGCTCAAGTGTTTGCCATTGTATGAGCAGCACTTTAAAGATAAGTTGCAAATGCCTTCTACTGAGTTCTTTAGATAAAATCAGACTGTCTTTTATCTGCTCGAAGCTTACTTTATTGGGAGACATGATGGGACTTGTAGTTTCGCAACAGCTGAAGAGCCACCAGTTTGACACCCCTGATCTCCAGTATTCATCAACACTACTCTAATTGAAGTGAATTATAAAACGTTATTAAAATGGTACTTGGTCCCTACTGCGAGGATGCATCCATCTGCTTCCCTGACGTGCTTCTGGCATCGAGGCCAGGTGAGAACTATGTGTCACATAGCAACCAGATTTTGGATCCTCACGTTTAATTTAATCTATTTAATGACGGCAGTGAATATTCGCAGATCCCTGGAGACAGCCCTCTTTCATAAATTCCCGGATAATGTCGTTGGCAGCGAGAATCACTCTAGCTAGACACTTGAAGCAATCGGTCATCCCTGTCACATACCTGATGGGAGACTGAATTGACAAGGTCGGCCTCACTTGTGTCACTAATCCTGAGCCCGCTGAGGTTGGAACAGAGGGCGTCTAAGGACCAGGGGGACAAGAGCGCCAGGGTTTTGCTTGCGGCTCTTGCAGATGATGACCTTGGTAAGCAGGATATCCACTGATTTGGATACTGTAGAAATAGACCAGGCAGGTACAGTGGATTGTCAGATGCACAGCAGAGCCAGGTTTGCAGCCAGGACACAGGACTGGAGCGGAGTCGTAGGATAGCCAGGGTCATAACAGTTGGGCAGTGCGGTACAGGATCAGGAGGAAAATGACAAAGTCAGGAACAGAGCCGAAGCCAGGAACCGGGGGGCAGAAGAGAACTCAGAGTCGAGTCAGGAACAAGCCGGGTCAGCACCAAAGGAATCGCACAGGAAACAAGCAGGACACTGGGGGAGCTGAAGACCAGTCAGCATTGAATCAGCACCGAGGTGCTCTTTAAGTAGCCCGCCCAGTGCCGACAGGTGCGCCTGGGTCCTAGTGCCTGCCCGGTGCCGTCATTGGTGACAGGTGCGCCTGGGTCCTAGTGCCCGCCTGCCTGTATGCCTTGTCGGGATCCTGCACCTGCGCAGATTCATGCACTGCGGCGATCTTCTTGTTCCCTGATAATCCTGTTTGATTATGGTAAGAATAAACTGAATTGGATTATGATTGATGACAGATTCATGTGTATTCTACACAACAATTCTAGAAAGTTCAATACAACATGGGACTCGTGGATTTGATATATTGCTGTGCCTTAATGTGCCCCGACTTGACCCTTTCTTTCTCTTTTTCTACTCCTTTTTCTTTATCATTCCTTTTTCTTCCATTCTCTGGGGTTGGTTATGCCTAATCCCTGTGTGTTCTACAACATTTGTTATGCCTCTAAAGACACCGACTCTGTGTCTAGTCTCAGGTCCACGACCAGTGGTTCTTCCCCTTCCCCTACGTCTCCTAACTCTCCCCTCTGTTTCCTTTCCGGCTCCCCTCCCTCCTCCCTTACCCCACCACTGTGTAAATCCTCTATATGTGGTTAGATCAGCCTTTCTCAAGGCCTTCAGGCTTCTTCAGGGGTGCCTTGGCAAAATGCCTCAAAGTTGTATACAAGCCAGCAGGTGGATCAATCCTGCCTTTTAGTACACAAAGCCACAGGTTTTCATTGTGCACTTTTATGACATTCTAGCTGCCTGCATCCTAACAACCATGACATCATCAGTTGATAAGGAGGATGTGGGGTGCATGCACAGCATCCTTGTTTGCCCCTCTCTGTCAGCACTGGAGTCAGATTAGCAGCGAGGGAGAGAAACACTGGAATACTAGTCAGTACCAGTGTGCAAAGGTGTATTTGCTTTGGAAGAATAAATCACCTCCAACTTTGGGTGTACAAGATGGATGTAGAATAGTTTTTTACATTTTAAAATGGGGTGCCTTGAGATTATCCATCATTTTAAAATGTGCATTGACTGAAAAAAGGTTGAGAAACACTGGGTTAAATGATGTGGACTTTTCTATTTGGATTATCCAATGTCTACTCTAGAGTCCCTGGCCTCCTGTTGCGTGCTTTGTCTGATAAACCATGTTCTTTTGCACTTTGTTAAAATCTACTTTTTGTGACATTATTGTTTACTTGCCCTGTTATTTTGAAAAACTGTTCAATAAAAACTATTGGAATCTAAAAGCATACCTTGTGCCCAGGGGCAGACTGACAACTCATGGGGCCCCCGGGCAATAGGGGATCATGGGGCCCCTGTGTCTTTGCCCAAACTCAAAAAAGCCTATGAAAAAGGTACCAGGGGCATCTCATGGGGCCCCCTACTGACCCCGGGCCCTCGGGCAGTTCCAAATGGTCAATCCGCCCCTGCTTCTGCCCATATATGCCAACCCTGCAGAATTTTGATATCTGCTGTTAATTTTTGGGTCCAAAAAAGTGGCATCAAGTAAAAAGTAACTTTTTTTAACAAAAAAGACAAAGCAGCAGGACTAACACAACTGCAAGCCATTGAACAACCACGAAGTCCTCTGCAGAGTACACCCGGCTCTACTGCGCCTGCGCGCTTGGTTCCCGCTGCTAGTTCTTCTAGTAGTGTCATTGATGAAAACGATCCTGCAGGGGTCGCTCGTCTGTCTACAGCGGCCTTACCTATTGTCTGCAGCTCATGTCTTTGGTAGTTTCCGCTCTCCGTTCTCTGTTGCCTGGATACGGAGAAGCTGGCGGAAGTTGTGGCCAGGTGTAATGTTTTGTGAAGCGGGGATGAGGTGATTCGGGTCGGGATGGAAGAGGAGAGACAGCGGGCGGGGTTGGAGGATTATCGAATTGTCAGAGTGGTGGGCAAGGGGAGCTATGGAGAAGTCAGCCTGGCTGCACACCGTGCGGAGGGGAGACAGGTACAGTATGCAGCATTATATACCGATCTGTCACTGTACAGTATTGGTAGAGGCAGCTTTACATAGGGAAATGTAGTGGGCAAAGGGGCTGTGTACTGGAGCAGAGAGCTATTAGAAATCATGGGGCCCCAATACAGCGTACCTGACAGGGCCCCAATACAGCATACCTGACAGGACCCCAATACAGCATACCTGACAGGACCCCAAAACAGCGTACCTGACAGGGCCCCAAAACAGCGTACCTGACAGGACCCCAAAACAGCGTACCTGACAGGGCCCCAAAACAGCGTACCTGACAGGACCCCAAAACAGCGTACCTGACAGGACCCCAAAACAGCGTACCTGACAGGACCCCAAAACAGCGTACCTGACAGGACCCCAAAACAGCGTACCTGACAGGGCCCCAATACAGCGTACCTGACAGGGCCCCAATACAGCGTACCTGACAGGGCCCCAATACAGCGTACCTGACAGGGCCCCAATACAGCGTACCTGACAGGGCCCCAATACAGCGTACCTGACAGGGCCCCAATACAGCGTACCTGACAGGGCCCCAATACAGCGTACCTGACAGGGCCCCAATACAGCGTACCTGACAGGGCCCCAATACAGCGTACCTGACAGGGCCCCAATACAGCGTACCTGACAGGGCCCCCACTCACGTGTGCGGGTGTACAGCTCTGAACATAGTGTGCATTTGTGGCCACTCACCCATGCCTGCGCACCCCTCAGATTAGGACCTGTGTCTGTATTCATACAGCTGCTGTGTCCCCATAGAGTAAACCTGACTTCACATCTATGCGCGTTGGGAATGAACGCAAAATCACGCGGTTTCCTGCCAAACAGGCCGCCATTTAGCAGATACGCAGCGGTGCCTTTAATTGTTAGTGGCACTCCTACACATCATGCGTTTTCCACAAATAGGTACTTCTTGTCTGTCTTTCTTGCCCATAGAAATGTGCGGTGCACTATTCCTATTGACATCAGATTTTGATGAAAGTGTTACTAAACCCGCAACAGTAAAATCCGTCTGTATATGCAGTAAAGCATGCTTGTTATACTCACTGTGGAACCTAAGGGGTTAATCCTCAGCATTATGTAAAAACACTGTTTGATTCTGACTTCTCTGATCCTCCCCTTCTTCCAGTGACCCCTCTTATCTCCTGATAAGACATATCATGTGAAGACAATCTGAACATGCTCAGTTTGGTGCGTATTGCTAGAGAGTAGTGGTGCACCGAAATTACAATTCTGGTGCCCAAACCGATACCGAAAATTCAGAATGCATGTGACTGAAACTGAAATGTCTGCGTATGTGGGGAGGCTCCAATTTTTTTTTTCTTCTTTCATGTATATATTTTTTTTGTTAACTTATGATTTTATTGCTATCACATAGGAGACCAATAGTCCCCTATGTGATAGCATATGCATGACATGTCCTCTTTGTAGGGGGGATGGGGGGTGCAGGCGAGGAGCAGTGTATACAGAGAGGCTCCCTCGCTGGCTATCATTATATGTCAGTGCTGGTTTTTAAATGCAATTACCAGCTTTTTTTTTCTTCACTATAGCTCACAGAATTAGCTGTCACTTTCCCCGGAGCTAAAGGAAACTGTTTCTTTTATCTCGGGAAATAAACTAAAAGGAAATTTGTTTCTTCTAGCTGGGGGGAAAGTGACAGCTAATTCTGTGAGCTATAGTGAACAAAAAAAAAAAGCCGGTAATTACATTTAAAAACCAGCACTGACCTATAGTGACAGCCAGTCACTGTACACATTGCTCCTCTCCTGCCTTTCTCAGCCGCCCCCTCACAGCTGCAGTACACACAGTCTCCTGTATCGGCTAAATTTTTCCTATCGGCATGGCTATTTTCGCCCAGTATGTTTTGGTGGCCGAAATTTTGGCGCATCCCTACAAGAATTTTTTTTTTTTTCTTGGGGGAGGGCATGTGACCAGCACAGGGCCAATCAGCACTGTCCAGACACAGGTCAGGGGTTCTGCATCCTCTTGGAGCAGAAAAAAAACTCCTCCTACAAGCTTTAACCAGTGCACTGCTGAACATTGATAGAAGTCACAAGACTGCTCTAACTGGTGATGAGAAAAGGTATTTAGCAGTTTATATTTACTAAAATAATTGCATTTCCATGTTGTGTGTTCTGTGGGAGACCAGATACAGTTGTGCTCAAAAGTTTGCATACCCTGGCAGAAATTGTGAAATTTTGGCATTGATATTGAAAATATGACCATGCCAAAAAATGCTCTTTTATTGAAGGATGATGATCATATGAAGTCATTTCTTATCAAATAGTTGTTTGGCTCCTTTTTAAATCATAATGATAACAGAAATCAACCAAATCAAAAGTTTACATACCCTGGAATGTTTGGCCTTGGTACAGACACACAAGGTGACACACGGGGTTAAAATGCCAATTAGAGGTTAATGTTCCACATTTGTGGCTTTTTAAATTGCAATTAGTGTCAGTGTATAAATAGTCAATGAGTTTGTTAGCTCTTACGTGGAAGCGCTGACTAGGCTAGATACTGAGTCATGGGGATCAGAAAAGAACGGTCAAAAGTCCTGCGTAACAAGATAATGGATCTTTATAAAGATGGAAAAGGACATAAAAAGATGTCCAAAGCCTTGAATATGTCAATCACCTATTAGGAAGTAGAAAGTTCGGAGATCTCTTGATAGCAAGCCAAGGTCAGGTAGACCAAGAAAGATTGCAGCCATAACTGACAGAAGAATTGTCCGGGATTCAAAGAAAAACCCACAGGCAACCTCAAAAGAAATACAGGCTGCTCTGGAAAAAGACAGTGTGGTTGTTTTGAAGGAGCACAATATGATGACACTTGAACAATAATGAGCTGCATGGTAGAGGTGCCAGAAAGAAGCCTTTAGTGCATCAATGACACAAAAAGGCCTGGTTAGCCATGTCAAGGGGTTGTCAGGCATATTGTAACTGGGCTTTTTTATGGCATTGGTGCAGGAAAAGCTTCTTTCTGGCACCTCGACCAAACAGCTCATTCTTGTTCAAGTATCACTGTTGGACTAAAATGCCTTTTTAGTTCTAGTGGTATATTGCTACCCCCTTATCAGCGGCCCTGGCCGAGAGTGGGGCTCAGTGTACAGTGATGTTCCACATTCTCAGCATGACATCATGTAGATCATTTAAGAGATTTCCCTTCACCTCCTGCCCTGTAGACACACCAGGAAGTAAGAAGCGATCTCTCCAAAGTGAGACAAATCCCCTCTTAGTAGGTTTACTGATTAGAAGATTTCTCTCTATTCCTGTTTTGTTGACTACTAAAAAATGTAGCTTTTACTTCCAGAGACAGGGAACACCAGGACAATTAGTGACGGTGATTCCCCCAGTGAGGACACAGATCGCAATAAAAACCTGATAGGGCTTCTAACCTTCCGCTACTGTAGACAAAATGTACATCAGATACCTTCCAGGTGCATAAATAAAAGTTCAAGTCTTATTTTTTTTATGCATCCATAAAAGTGCTGTTTACAGAGTGAAACACATTAACATGTATTGTCCTCATAGTGTGTGTGATGTACATGTATAGTCAGTAAAGACACCAAAGAGTGCAACAAATTCCGGATTTCTTTCTTCACATGTATCCACAGGCTGTGTTAGCACCCTCGGCACCTGCCTGCACTAAAGGCAATGTAGACAAGTTTGAGTATAATAGATAAGCACACTAAAGTTGTTCTTCTCCAACAGTCCCAGTAGCTGGAAACCCTCTGCCCCCTGGCAGGTGAATTATGCTAATTTATTAGACCAGCACTTGAATACTCCTGTGTCTCTGAGTCAGTTCAAAATACGTTCCAAGTTCACCACTCTCTTGAAATTCTGTAGGACTCTAAACAGCAGGATATTAACCCTTGAAAAAAATGAAAACTATATGTTGCAGTATGTAAATACTCCAAAACTGTGCTCAAAATCCAGTAACTGGTGCTCACATTTCACTCAAATATCACTTGTATGCACTCTCGCCCTCCTCTGAAAAAAATCTGTGTCTTTTTCAATAGGCTCTATTTTTGTTAATCTTCATTCATCAAATCCACATTCCAAAATACTCTTCCTTCCTCCAACATAAGTGTCTACTTTGAAGAAGTTCGATTGGACGAAACGCATCAAAAGTGCCAACAGGCCGGAAGTGACGTCATTGCGCTCAACCAGAACTCACATGAGTATTCAAGCGCTAGTCTAATAAATTTGCACTCTAGACAAGTTTACCTGAACTGGCACGGGACTCTCTGCTTCATTCTGGTCATGTTGGACCTTTGCAGAGAGACCACTTCTTCCACACTTTTCTGCTCAGGCTGTGGCTGATTTGCATTCCTTTTGGGCGGCAGAGAAAGGCAGTGTATACACTGGCTAACTGTCTCTATATGTCAGTGCCGGTTTTTAAATGTAATTGCTGGCTTTTGTTTGCTTCACTATAGCTCAGAGAATGAGCTGTCACTTTCCCTGGAGCTAAAGGAAACTAAGGGGCAGGGGCACTGGGTAAGGTCACTGGGTAACCCTGCCCCTTTTTTTCTTTTAGCCCTCCAAGCATGACTGCTCCTTCTCTGAGCTATAGTGAAGGAAAAAAAGCCAGCAATTACATTTTAAAAATGGCATTTTTAAATGCAATTGCTGGCTTTTTTTTTCTTGCTTATAGCTCAGAGAATGAGCTGTCACTTTCCCAGAGCTACAGTTGTGTCCAAAATTATTCAACCCCCACTGAAATTGAGTGTTTTGGCCAGTTTGACATTGCTTTTGATCATTCAGTCATCTTGCTTACATTTACATTAAAGAGGCACTTGTAGGTCAGACAAATATAACATAACAGTTATAATGAAATAACCACAAATGTCTTTTCTGTGCTCACAGCATTATCAGTTTTATTCAACCCCCAAGTGACATTCAATCTTAGTACTTAGTACAGCATCCTTTTACAGTTATAACAGCTTTTAAACATGAAGCATAGCTTGACACAAGTGTCTTGCAGCGATCTACGGGTATCTTCGCCCATTCTTCATGGGCAAAGGCCTCCAGTTCAGTCACATTCTTAGGCTTGCGCACTGCAGCTGCTTTCTTTAAGTCCCACCAGAGGTTCTCAATCGGATTTAAGTCTGGTGACTGCGATGGCCACTCCAAAATGTTCCAGCCTTTCCTCTGCAACCATGCTCTAGTGGACTTGGAGGTATGCTTGGGATCATTGTCCTGTTGAAAGGTCCAACGTCTCCCAAGCCTCAGGTGTGTGACGGACTGCATCACGTTTCCATCCAATATCTCCTGGTACTGAAGAGAATTCATGGTACCTTGCACACGCTGAAGCTTCCCTGTACCTGCAGAAGCAAAACAGCCCCAAAGCATGATTGACCCTCCACCATGCTTCACAGTAGGCAAGGTGTTCTTTTCATCATAGGCCTTGTTCTTCCTCCTCCAAACATAGCGTTGATCCATGGGCCCAAACAGTTCTAATTTTGTTTCATCAGTCCACAGAACACTATCCCACAACTTTTGTGGTTTGTCCACATGGCTTTTGGCATACTGCAGTCGACTCTTCTTATTCTTTGGAGACAGCAAGGGGGTACGCCTGGGAGTTCTGGCACGGAGGCCTTCATTACGCAGTGTGCGTCTTATTGTCTGGGCTGAAACTTCTGTACCCACATCTGACAAATCTTTTCTCAGTTCCTCAGCAGTCACACGGGGACTTCTCTCCACTCTATGCTTCAGGTAGCGCACAGCAGTCGAAGTCAGCATCTTCTTTCTGCCACGACCAGGTAGCGTTTCAACAGTGCCCTTTGCCTTGAATTTGCGAATGATGCTTCCTAAGGTGTCTCTTGGTATGTTTAAACATCTTTGCAATCTTCTTATAGCCATTGCCCTTCCTGTGAAGAGAAATCACCTCTTCTCTTGTCTTCCTGGACCATTCTCTTGCCTTCACCATGTTTGTAACCACACCAGTAAATGTCTAGAAGGAGCTGAGTATCACAGTCATTTTAAAGCTGCCTAATTGGTGCTTATTATGCTTGATTGCTGCTCGGTGACATCCACAGGTGTTTTCAATACCTGATGGAAAGCACCTGTATGAACCTCTGTTCTTCAGAGTGGTAGTCTTTAAGGGGTTGAATAATTGTGGCAATGAAGAAACCACATAAGAACCATTTACTACTGTATTACATAAACAATTGATGTCATTTTAGTTGCATTTGGGTAGTTACAACGTCCTTGTAGGATTTGATTCTGAATACAATTCCAAATGTACACTATAGTCCCTAAACCCCTTTACAGCATTGGGGGTTGAATAATTTTGGACACAACTGTAAAAGAAACAAAGTTTCTTCTTAGTTTCTTTCCCGAGCTAAAAGAAACAAAGTTTCCTTTAGTTCTGGGGAAAGTGACAGCTCATTCTCTGAACTATAGTGAAGAAAAAAAAAAATCCGGCAATTGCATTTAAAAACCGGCACTGACATATAGGGGTTTATTTACTAAAGCTGGAGAGTCCTAAATCAGACTCACTTTTGCATAGAAACCAATCAGCTTCCAGGTTTCATTGCCAAAATTTCATTGAACAAGCTGAGGTTAGAAGCTGATTGGTTTCTATGCAGAAGGGAGTCTGATTTTGGACTCTCCAGCTTTTGTAAATAAACCCCATAGTGACAGCTAGTACGGGAGCCTCTCTGTTTATACTGCTCCCTCACTGTATACACTGCACCTCTCCTGCCCCCTCCTTGCACACACTGCCACCCCCTACCCCCTACAGAGATGGCCTGTCACTCATATGTTATCACATAGGGGACTATTGGTCCCCTATGTGACAGCAATACAATCATAAGTTAAAAAAATAAATAATATACATGGAAGTAGGGGAAAAAAAAAATGGAGCCTCCCCACCCCCACATACGCAGACATTTCGGTTCGGTTTTCAGCCACATGCAGTCTGAATTTTCGGTATCAGTTTTGGCACCAGAATTTTAATTTCGGTGCACCCCTAGCCTGAAGACTTGCAGCTATGGGCTTATGAGAAAGAAAGTCCAGATGGCTGCAGTCCTGAAACCACCTTTATTACAAAAGTTCCATAAGCCAAGTAAAAACATCAGCAGACAGCAGGGGATGAAAGGAACCCGCTAACTCGTTTCACGCTGTACTAGCGCTTAGTCAGGCTATGAA